GTTAGCTTGTAATAATCTTTCATAAAAGTTATTTACTTGTCTAAAATCTTGTGTTTTGTTAAAATAATTATAATTATTATAAATAGTGCTGAATAATAAATTATAATAATAGGTATTATTTATTGCTAAAATATATTAAGCTTTGCTTAAGTAATTTTGTAACATTTTTTTCTGAAATAAAAATAGCAATACTGAAGTTACATTAAAATCCCAGTATCAATTTCAATTTAACTTCAGATAATTTTTTTCTTTTAAAATTTTTAACTTATCATAAAACGATATATTGAAAATTGGTTTTTAGTACAATTATAAATTAAAGATTACTATATATATATATATATATATATATATATATATATATATATATATATATATATATATATATATATATATATATATATATATATATATATATATATATAATTATTAAAAATAATTATTAAAAAATACAGAATTTGCTACTTGCATTACATTAATGAAAGTGATGCTAAACTTTTTTTGAAAATTTGCGAAAAAAAAATTCTTTCTTGTTAGAAAGGTAGAAAACATTCTGTTTAGTAGATGATGAAAAAAAAGGAAAACTGGCTATGTTATGGAGCTGCACAGATACTAAAGATCCTATAACCTGTGTGCAGGCCTAATGTAAATACTTAGCTTAAAAGAAATAAAGTAAAAAAAAAAAAAGTTGGATAAAAGACTAAAGTTTGGAAGTAAAAAAAAAAAATGGGATAAAGACTATTTTTAATTTGAGTTTTCTTATTAGCTACTCATTTTTTTATTAACAACTTTACTTATTAATAAAAAAATTTGACAAATCTATAAAAGTTTTTTTCTGCTCTTAAAAAATACTCTATATTTTCTAACTGTAATGAATGATAATGAAATGTAATGAAAGAAAGAAACAACAATTATTACCAAAGTAAAGAAGGAAGTTACAACAATTATTACAAAAGTTTAAGATTTCACAATTAAAATGTTTATTTTTAAAAATATTTAATGTTATAAACTGAATTTTAAATAATATCTTTGATATGAAGACATAGTCTTGAGTAAGATAATGATTTACAACAAAATTTGATCTTTCTTATTTTTTCATGATGGCATTTTTATAAGAAACTAGCTTTTTATTTAAAAAAATCAATCAGTTAGTCAAATCTTATTAAAAATATTTGCATTACAATTCACGCTCTTTCTAATTTTTTTTTTTTTTGTAGTAACTATGCCTTTAAAAAGAGCATTTTATTTTATTATGCAGTAATTGGTTTGTTTCTGAAATGACTTTTTTCATTTAGTTACATCAATAATGATTTTCTTTTATAAACAACTTTGCAAACTTGACCATATTGTCATTTGTGTTATAGTGATGTAACATAAATGTACAAGAGCAATTAAATTAAATTTCAATTTAATTTAATCTTAAGGTTTGTGGTTGCTTTATTTTTTTTTATTTTAATTCACCTCCTCAAGGCCGAGAAGGCCACTACAGACGAGGAGGCTACTTATTTGTGGCTATAACCCTCTCTCAACTCTATAACTCTGAAACACGAACCTTGACGAACAAGGCCGCTGCGCGGAGAAACGAGTTGAGCGCGGTACTTCCAGGGACGTGGTGGGGATCGAACTCGGAACCACTCGTTTATGAAGCGAGCGCTCTACCACTACACCACTACCGCATAATAGAAATTTGTTGAGTAAATAATAATACCGCTTAATAGAAGTAATACCGCTTAATAGAAATTTGTTGAGTAAAATGATTAGTTTTTTTTTACAGAGTTTGTTTTATTGTGTTGTTATTGACAAGGGCATTTTTCAGGATGGACCATTTTAACTTGGGTGTTTAATAAACACCCTAGTTAAAATGGTCCATCCTGAGTTAAAATGGTCCATCATTTTTATGAGAAACAAAAGAAAAATGATAATAAACACTGTTTATTATCATTTTTCTTTTGTTTCTCATAAAAATTTCAAGAGCGTGGTTGCATTTGCGAGATTTTTCATTTAAAAAATTTTTGAATGTATTTTTGTGTGTGTTTCGTTTTAAGATTTTTGAAATGTTCTTAGAGCTAGTTCAATGTTGACAATGGCCCATGGTTGAACTTTTGAGTAAAAGTTTCTGATCATCACACATGCTGTACTAGAGATAAGAAAACCAAAGTAAAGAGACTTGTCGACAACTGAAAAGGGGTCAGTCAGTCAGAATTGGTTTTTAAATTCGATATAAATCAATTGAGAATTGGTCACCAGTTAAAAAGTACAAATATTCAATACAGACAACAAATAAAAGCAAAGAAAAGAAGCTGAAAACTTAATCAATTCTATAACACCAAATTACTTTTGATTATTGATAAGGAGAAAAACTTTTGTTTTGCAGATGATAATATAGATAGAAAAGTCTCTTGCCTACACAGAAATCAAAGAAACATGCTAAGAAAGTGTTTGCTTTGTGAGAAAAGAGAGTTTTTCAAAAAAAAAGTATTAATTTTGATTGCCTTTTCTAACCGTTGTGTGTTTAAGCTATTGTTTTATATACATCAAAAGTATAAAATACATCAATCTTTTTCCATTCATTCATAAGTATCATTCATTCATGTCAATTTTTACTCTTTAATTTGACTAGCAGTTTCTGAAAATTCTCTAAATTTGATGGACAAAAATGTCAATTATGTTGATAAGGAATCCAACTCAGATGTGTCTCAAGCACGGCAAATTAAGAACTTTTGAGGGCATTTGGCCCAAAAATGTTTACAAGGGATGTTAGCTAGCTTCATCAGAAAAAGTCTTGATTACATCAAAACTGAAAGAAAAAACAAGTTGTGCAATTTTTGTACTCCTCAAGCGACAATAGTTAAGTGACTTAAGTGAGTTTTTATTATTTAAATTAGTCTATAGATATCTTTTAAGCGGACAAAAGAAGTAATTAATGTTATAAAAACCACTGAAATGTTGAATGTCAAAAAAAGATTACATGACAAATTCATTCCAAATAAGAGCTATTTACAAATTAAAAAAGTTCAAATAAAATAAGATACAAAGGAAGCTTAATTATTATTTGAATTTTATTTGAAAACAAGTAAAAAAGGACAATAAATTTCTATTTCAATTTTAAACAGTTAAATAATTTTTTTTTTTTTTTTTTTTTGAAATTAGCCTTTTATTTTGTTGTTATTATTTATTTATTTTTCGATTTCCTTCCTCTTTTTCACTATTTTTACTAAAAATTAAACTCTTTGTAAACATGTTCCGATTCAATTTAATTCTAAATAAATTACATTGCAAAAAATAGCAAAAAAAAACTTAGAACAATGTGTTAAAAACACAGCTTTAATAACATTGTGTTAAAAACACACCTCTAAAAAACATTATGTTAACAACTTAGCTTTAAAAACAATTTGTTAAAAATATCTAAATAGTTAAATTTAACTAATTAAATTAGTCAATTAAAAACAAAATTGAAAATGTAAAATCACATAAAATAAATTGGTAAAAAATAAAATGCGACTTGTACTCAAAAGAATAGTACTAAAGTTAAGAATTAAGTTTCTAGAACTAAGTTTCATCAAGTTTTCACCATAGTTTAATACATTATCTACACCTATATATTATTTTACCTATATATTATTTACACATACCTATATATTATCTACACATATATTATTTTTACACCTTTTTTGATGAAAATTATGGGCAATTTATCTCTTGGACAGATTGCGCCCCAAACCATTACATTTTTTGGAATCTTGGAACATGTCTTTTGTCATCTGGGATGTCCTCAATTGAAACAGACCAGTTTCTGTCATTTTGGGAGTTGTGAGGTTGTTTCAAAACAAAAAATTTTTCATTAGAACATATAATTTCATCACCTCCGTGTTAGGCCAAAATGTTTTTTACTCTTTCGACACGTTTACGTTTTGATGATTTAGTTTTAGAAACTCCATGAACTTTATGTTTTTTGAAAGACTACTTGCTACTTTCCTGGCAGATTGAGCAGAATTTTGTCAAATTCCTTCTCTGATCACTTTGATGGCTGCTGGAGTACTTACAGAGCGTTTGCCTCCCAATCTTGGGCGGTCAGTGCCAGTACCCGTTTCCTGGAAGCATTCAATGGTATGATAAACCATATTTCTGGTGACTCCATCACTTTTCAGTTCTCTAAAAATGTCCTCACGTGACTTTCCTTTTTCAAATTTTTCAATAATTATTTCTCTATACACTTTCATAGCTAGAAATATTATTTTTATTAATTTAAATTACAAAATTGATTTGCATTTTACAAATAGATAACATACCAATACTTTTAAATATTTTTTGATGAACAATATAATAATTGATAAAATAACAGGTAATTGTTAACACAGGGTTGTACCGGAATATATTTGTTGCGGTGTATAGTACATTCTGGAACCTACTAGAAAGTTCAGAAACTCTTCAGAACATTCTAAAAGATTATAAATCGTTCTGGAACCTACCAAAATACCCAGGCACTTTGCAAATCATTTTTGAAAAAAAGAATATTCTAAATTTTATAAAACTTTATAAAATGGTACTAGAAAATAATGGAAAGTTCTGAAAAACTCTGAAAACTCTTTAATCTTAAAAAATTTTTTTTAAAGGATCTTGAAGGATCCCTATCTGGAAAGTTTTAGAAGGCTCCTATGATGTATAGATGGACATGGTATCTGAGATTTACACATCAATTAGGTCAAAATTGGTGAAAAATTGGCTGTTCATGAACCTTGTGAAGTGAAAAAAATCAACACAATCACTTTAAAAAATGTACAGATAAATGGCTTGTTGGTCATCTAAATGAGATTTATGTCAAGAATGTCTTTTGAGACACATTCAAGATTGCTCTCCTGATGAATTTGGAAGTTTATTCTTAACTACTTATATCTTATCAAGTTGTGGGTGATGCAAAAGCCATTTATAATAAGGTTCCTCTGAAATTTATGAAAAAACAAAATAAAAAATTTGTCTTTTAATGAATTGATCTTCCTGAATAA